ACAGGCATGTCCCACCATGCCAGGACTTGGTGGTTGGTTTAGCACACCCTGGGGCAGGCCTGGGGCAGCATGTGGTGCCAGGGATTGAACCCTGGTCCCTGTGCTTGCCTAAGCAGGCATTTAGTCCACTGAGTTATCTTGCCAGCCCTGATACCCAGTTTTTCCACCACCACTATTAAAGAGACTGTCTTTTCTCTGTTGTTTGTTGTTGGCATCATCAAAACAAACAAACAAACAAATTATGAATGTATGAGTTTATTTCCAGGCTGTCTATTCTGTTCCACTGATATTTGTGTGTGTTTTAAGTCATTTCTATGTTATTTTGATTATTATATCTTTGCAGTAGATTTTAAAACAAGACAGTGAGATGGCTCCAGCTTTGTTTTTTTTCTCTCTAAGTAGCTGTGGCTATTCTGAATTTTTCATGCTTCTGTAAACACTTTAGGACATTTTCTGCTTCTATGGAAAATATCAATGGGATGTCTATAGAGATTTAATTGAATCTTTAAATCACTTTGAGTGATACGGTTATTTAAACAGTATTAATTATCCCAGTCTATGAATAGAGAATATCTTTCTGCTTATCTCTATATTCCTCAATTTTATTTATCAATGTTTTACTTTTCAGTACAAATCTGTTCTTTCTTCTATTAAATTTACTATACATTTTATTATAATTAATATAAATGGGATTATCTTCTTTTTCAGAAAGTTTGTTGTTAGTGTTACAAGCTGATTTTTTATCCTGAAATTGTACTTAACTTTTTAGTTCTAATAGTTTTTAGGTCAAATCTTTATGACTATCTATGTAAAAGATTCATTCATGAAGAGAATTTAACTTTTAATGTTTATATTGAGCTAAGGGTTTATTATTACAGATTTCCATATAGATGCTACTTTTTCTGTATCTATGTTTTTGTTATGTTGTGTTTCCACTTTTATTTTTCTGAAAATATTTAAGATTTCCTGTTTAACTTACTGTTAGACTCATTAGTTTATCAGAAGCATGTTTTATTTTCACATACTGTCATATTCTAAGCTGCATTCTCTATTTTAGTGTCATAAAATTTGTTTGGAAATGAAACTTGATAGAATTTCCATCTTCTCAAATTTGTTAAGATTTGCCAGGCATGATGGCACATTCCTGTAATCTTTGCACTTGGGAGGCTAAGCGGGAGGATTGCCACAAATTCAAGGCCTGACTGGGCTATATAGTGAGTTCACAGCCAACCTGAAGTGGTATATAGTGAGCCCTTTTGTTAAGACTTGGTTTGAGGCCAGCATGATCTATTTTAGAGAATGTCTTACATGTGCTCAAGGAGAATGTGTACACTACTTTTGGATGGAATGTTCTGAATTTATCTATTCAGTTCATTTTGTTCAAAGTCTAGTTCAAATCTAGTACTTGACAATACTTTATCTTCTGTCTGAATAATCTGTCCATTGTGGAAAGTGACACAGTGGAGTCCTCTAGTATCACTGTGTTTTATTCTGATTCTCTGGATCTGTTACTTTTTGCTTTATATATTTATATGATGGAATGTTGGGTGTGTATATATCTACAATTATTGTATCTTCTTGATAATTGGTCTTTATTATCATATAATAATCTTCTTTGTCCTGTTTTAGAGTTATAGACATAACTCTTTTAAACTTCACATTTTCATAGAGTATCTCTTCACATTTTTCATGTTGTTTGTTCATATCCTTTGAGTAAAACAGCCATCTTATAAATAGCCCATAGGTGGGTCTTTTAAAAATTCTGCTAAGCATGCTCTGTCTTTTCATTGAAGAATTTAATCCTTTGCATTCAAGGTAATTCCTGATAGGTAAGAACTTTGTCATTTAGTTCACTGTTGCCTTATTTCATAGCTCATTTGTTCCTATTCTTGTGTTGCTGTCTTCCTCTGTGATTAGATGACGTTCTCTAGAGTTATGCTTTCCTACTTCTCTGGATCTGAATCTGCATGTGCTTTGTGGTTTCTCTGTGGCTTACATATAACGTCATAACAGGTTTATGCTAACAGCTTAAATATAAATGCATCAGATAACTTTTTACCCCACCTCTTCTAATTTTTAGTTCTTGATGTCACAGTTTACATGGTTTTAAATTATATAATCCCTTAACAGATTATTGTGGCTATTACTTTTTTTTAGAACAAATTTTTATTTTTATTTATTTATTTTGGCAGAACTGGGGCTTGAACTCAGGCCCTTGCACTTACCAGGGAAGTGCTTTTTTCCAATGAGCCATCTCCCCGGCCCCCATATTACTTTTAATATACTTTTAAACATACATAAAATACAAATGATGTAAACACCACCATTACCGTATTAGAGCTTTCAGATTTTCATATACTTTACCAGTGATTTTCATATCTTTACACAGTTTTTGTGCTAGAAAGTATTTTCTTTTGGCCTGAACTGTTTTTCTTTTAACATGTGTCTGATACTGATGAATTCCTTCAGTTGTTTTGCATCTGGGAGCGTAATTATCTCCTCTTCATTTGTAAAGGACAACCTTCCCAGCCACAGTATTCTTGTTTGCCAAAATTTTTTTTTTATATCTTTAGTACTTTGTATCATTTCACCCCTCGTGGCCTGTAAAGTCGTTATTGAAAAATCTGATGTTCCTTTGTTGGATGTCTTCCTTTGGAACAACTGAAATCCAAAATGTTCCAAAATTCAAAATTTTTAAAATTTCAACATAACACTCAGTTTTGGATTTGAATTTTTGTATTCGAGATGCACAGCTCATAAATGTATACTAATAGCCCGAAGCAGGAAAAAAAAATCTGAAATTAGAAACACCTGGCTCCAAACAAGTCTAATAAAGGCTATTCTACCAGTATATGATTTGCTTTCTCCTCTTTTTTCTTTTGGAATATTCTTTTATTTTTGCAGTTTTATTATAAAAATATCACAGGGGAGTCTTGGCTAGGTTGAATGTAATCAGAAACCTCTGATTTTCTTGTACCCGGTACCCTCCATAGTTTTCCCCACATTTGGAAAGCTTCCAGAATTTTTATACGTGAACATTTACTCTATTGATGTGGCCCCACAGATCCTGTAAGCTTTTTTCACTCCTTTTTTTTCAGCTTTCCTCTTTTGACTGTATATTTTCAAATAACCTGTCTTTGACTTCACAGATTTTTCTGTCAGTATCTTCTCTTGCATTTTTTGTTGTATTCACTGTACATTTCAACCCCAGAATTTGTGGTACAGTGTTTCTATTTTTTCAGCCAGTCATCTTTTTTTTTTTTACTTTGGCATTGTTTTCTGGATCTCATGGAAATATTTCTACATTTTATTAGAATTTGCTAGGCTTCCTTAAGCCATTGTTATTTTTTAATTATTTTGAATCCTTTGTCAGGTAGTTCACATTTCTTTGGGATGGATACTGGCAAGTTATGCTCATCTGCTGGCACTCTGTTTCCTTGGTTTCTCATATTCCTCATTGCTCACACTGATGCACACACATGGTAGAGCAGTGACTTCCTGCAGCCTTTACGTATTAGCTTGCAGTGGACTTTCCCTATGCAGGCATTGCAAGAAAACAGACTTCTAGTGCCAGTAGGGGCTCCAGCTCTAGTCTTGGTACAGGGCTGATGACCAAGGTTGGTTCTCATAAATTGCAAGGATCCTCAGCAGTCAACACCATGAGCATGTGTGGTGGTGACAGGGTTCCTGGGGTGGTCTTTAGCATTGTGGCTGCAGAGGTTCTCCTAACGTTTTCCTGATGAAGTGTGGCTGTGAAGATCCCTCCTGCCACTGAGGCTGTCTTTGCTGTATCTTGCAGTGGCCATGATGAGTGGTGCCCTGGAACGGCTGGGGAGCTGAGGCCTTGCACACAGGCCCATTAGGAGGAACTCTGGCTCTGGGACGGGAGTTAATGGCATTTGGGTCTCGAGCTGCCACACTGCTATGTTTGTTAGAGAAGCCATGAGGTCAGGGTGGACCTAGCTCTGGGATGGCTCAGCTGATACTGGAGTGCAGGTATGAGGGTTTGAATTCAGGACCTGGAGTTGAGACCAGCTAGCTGTGGTATCTGAGTTATAGACAGGCTCAGTAAAGCTACAGGCCTGGGAGCAGAGCGCAAACTCCATAGAGCAGATGTGGCACCAGTCTTGGGAGAGGGGCTATTTCCTTTCTTTTCATGGTTCAAGAGCTACACTTCTTGACACTGGGGTGAGTGGGGCTGTCCATCTATGCATGTCTTGGGGTTCTCTAGCAGGAGTAACTGTAGGCTACCTCAGTGAGAAGACATCAGTGTTTTCTGCAGAGCAGGCTGTTGAGACTGAAAGGTGTGCACTATGTGACAATTCCAGTATTCTCCGCCTTTCCTCTTTGCACCTGGTTACCTCTGGCATCTCACATGTGTCTGTGGCACTAGCAAGCCCTCCATGTGGATACCCTAAGGCTCTGTTCTACTGTGCTGCTGCATATTCCTTAATGGGTGCTGAGCTCTTCCCAAACTAATTTTGCTCGTGAATAGTCTTCTATATTTTCTGTAAAGGGGATGAAGAACAGTATCTCCTACCCCACCATCTTAGTTATGTCACCCTGGACATTTTAATTGCTCTTCTTTCACTTTTCTACTTATTGGTTAAACAAATAATATGATGATAGCCTTGCAGTGTATCTCCTGCTGATTATGCTGTTGTGGAAAAAAGAGCATTTTGGATCAATTCAGATGCCTAGTCATTTCTGAGTACTGGATGCTGAAGAAGGCAGGAATATGGAGCTTTGTGAGGCATGTGGCACTATTTAACATTTTGACACACATGGGATTTTATGCCCTGGATTCACAGCGGAACACATGCCCACTATTGACCTAAGCTAGGAGGACTTTCCAACCATGTGAGCGCTGGATTCTGTGTCCCGTGCAACAACTGTGCTCCACATGCTTATTGCTGACAAGTTAGGTGTTTACCATTTAAGTCATTACTTTTCAAGCATGATAAAGATATTTGGCAATATCTATGAGACATGCTCCGGGATAAAATGAGTAGACAAGAAATTTATTCACTTAAAATATCTCAGTGCAACATGTGCCTATAGTATAAATGGTAAACTCACAACAATCGCAATTAAAACGTTACAATGTGTAGTACATGGTGTTACTTCAGTAAATGTCATATGTCTCCCAAGTGTTCTTCCTGTCTTTATTTTTTTTTTATTTCTTAAAATATGGAAGTCAAAATTACCAGGGAAATAAAAGGTAAATCCCACTAATAAATATAACTTTATTATTTCCCTAAAGATTCTGAGGCTTCTATATCATTGTTTGATACATCAGCATCTGGACTGAATTGTGAGCAATGTAAAAGCAAGACAAAACTGTCATACTGTCTTATAAAATTTGGCCAGCTTCCACAGGTAAGGGACAAAATTTGGATAAAATTATCTCTTTTACACCCTTGAATTATTCAGCCTCTTGAATATTAACCCATACCCTGTTCAAATTCACGTATTTCCCTTTCCTAACCTTCACTGTCATGGCAATTGTTATGTTTATTAACAACAGTTTACTTCTACATAGCAAAAACACATTATAGCATTCAATTATAAAGGTAAGTATCAAAAATATCAAAGAAAAAGTTACACATTATAGTGGTAAATGTATTCACACTCCCTAGGAAATCTTCACTTTTAGAAAAATATATTATTGCGTATGAAATCACAAATAAGCCTTCTGATTCCAGCACATTCTGACTCGAAACAGTATATACAGTCCTTTGAGAATCTGAGCAATCTATTGATCCACACGGGGCTTTGGGTTGAAGGTCCCAGACATACAGCAGTACGTGTACACTTCTATATCACATCGCTGCACACAGGTTTGCCTGCTTGCTTAGCAGGTGAAGGAAAGCCAGGCTGCACAGAGGGAGATTTTTCATCCTACGCTGCTTCCTCAGCCGAGCAGTCGATTCCTGCGTAGGTAAACTTCTCATACAGCGTGGTGTTCACATAGGTCTAGAAGAGCAAGAGAGGTTCAGACACAGGCCACCTTGATTCTGCCTCTGCCCTAGGTATTTATGGAAATCCCTGGTTTCCTCAGCTTGTTTCAACTTATGTACCAGGTACCTGGGGACACTTTTTTGTCCTCACTCCTTCTAGTGTGTTGATGATGTTTTACAGCAAGGCACCCTTTGGCCCCTGCAGGAAGATTTCATGCTCTCCCTGTCCTTAGCCCCTGAGCTGCTCTGTCTCATGGCCCTGCAGTTGTGCCTCCTAAAATGGTCAGTCTCTAGGGCTCTCTTCTTCATTGATGTCTCATCTTCAAATGTCACTGTGTGACCTTACCCACTTGGGTTTTGATGATAAAAGTTTATTTCTATTTGTTTGTTCACCCCTAATTGGAACAGCCAACTAACTTTTAGAAATGTTTATAGAATTTTTGACCCCCTCTGCATAGTAAGATATGACTCAGTGCTGTTGTCAATTTACTGTGTAGCTTTGGACCAGTCACTGTTACCTTGCTGAGTCTATTTCTTCATTTATGATATCTAAGGGTCAGACTATAGGACTGAGGCCTTCTAGCTCTAATAGGCTCATGTCATATGTTGTTCTAGTGTGTGTGTGTGACTATAGATTGCACAGAAATCTCTAAAAATGATAACTTTTCAGAGTTGGGAGATGCATCATTTATGTGCCTATAATCTAAGGCTATGACCAGAACTGGTTGGATTGTATCAATAACTTTTTATTAACCACCCTAAGCAATTAGGGCTTTCAGTTTAAGAGCTACTACTTCAAACTGTATGCTCACCTTTCGTTCTTCTAACATCCTGTTTAAAGACACCAATATCTGAGCAAACGATGGCCTCTCATAAGGTTTCTCCCGCCAGCATTGTCTCATTAGATCATACCTTTGGAAACAAAGAGTTGAAGAGTTAACTCTAAGACTGTTAACTCTAAGCCCTGGGTGTGTTTTAGAGGGGAACCGGGAAAAGAGAAGAAGGAAAATTAGCCACCAAAATGTGGTCCTGAAGCTCAGCTAACAGAAGATGGAAGAGCAGCACCTAAAGTATTCCCATACAGTCTCTCACCTTTTTTTTTTTGTTTGTTTGTTTGTTCGTTTGTTTTGGTGGAACCAGGGATGGAACTCAGGCCTTTGTGCTTGCCAGGCAAGCACTTATTCTACTGAGCTATCTTCCTGGCCCCTTCCTCTTGTCTTTTTACACATGTCCCCTTTCTCCTCCCAAAAATCTAGCACTGACCATGGATACCATTTTTACAGGATCCTGGGTTTAGCCATGCTGGTCATCCACAGTGAACAGTTATGTATGTGTGTAGCACTTCTCTTGGAATGCTACATCTTTCCAAATGATTGTCTCTTGTAAAATGACACTATTTAGAGGCAGGACTCTTAGAGCATCCCTGTCATTAAAAACAAACAAAAGGCCTGTTTATAACCAGAAGCAATGGTCTGGACATGAAACAGCACTCTTGAGGAAATGGCTAAGAGACTTCAGACACAATTTACCTGTGCCTTGATTTTGGACAATCCAGCATTCAGAACTTTGAGAAATAACTTTTGGCTTCCACCCAATTTATAGTATTTTATTAAAGCATTCTGAATCAGTACCAGGTTCATTATGAAGCATTTTCATCTTGACTAATCATAGAACTCCCTTCTCCTTGTATCTCTTGTGGACACAGTCTGGGAAACATGGGGCTCTGTGTTTCTCCACTGTGGTCAGAGCTACTTCTATCACTGCAAGTGCAGGTAGCAGGACCAGCCTTAGACTCACAGACCAGGATATCTGGGAGGGATTTAAGACCTCACAAAATGAAAAATGTCTGAAGGCAGCCTGTGTACATAGGCTACCAACCATCAACCTAGGTGCCACAAAATCTAGAATAGTTTGTACTTTGACAGACAATTCTTAGTGAGGAAATCACAGAATAGAATGACTCTCAGAAGATGAAATTTGGGGACTTTATCTAGTTATGACCTGAGGACATCCAGATTTGCCCAGGATGACCATCATCCATGTCTTTTATTCCAGTGATACCATGAATAGTACCTTTCTTTCAAATTGCATAGCCTGGGAAATAAATTATTCACCCAACTTATAGCCTCATCTTCAAATCATGACAGTGAGGCAGCTTCTATCATGGTAAATTCTGGAAATGTAGCATCAGACAACCTAATCATTGTCAGAATAATACTCCAGAAATGTAGAGAGCTGCGCACAGCCGCGCCCCAAAGATGGCGCTGGCTTCCACTTCCCACCCCCTGCGGGTGAGTGCTCTATGTCAGTCAACAACTGCATATAAGGCTGGGACGAAGGCCCATGGTCTGCTTCCGCATACCTGGACCTATGGGCAGCGCTCACGTGGCACTCTGGGATAGGCTGCAAAAGGGGATCTATGCCGTAGGAAAGCCCCAGAAGAGGGAGAAAGACGCTTGCTGTAAGGGGCCTGAATAAACCGCTGAAGGAAGAGCTGTGTGTTGTGTCTTCCTTGCTGGTCAAGAAGCGTACGACACTGAAAAATAACTTCAGTAGAAGAGTCTATAAACAAAAATCGACCTTTCTTAATGGAACAGTTCTGAGATATCTCTTCCCATTAAACACAAGGCTGCATACATGTATCTGTTCATGAATAATGTGAATTTATTTCGGTATTTTTTGTATTTGTTGTCATTCCTTATTATTATTATTATTATTGTTGTTGTTGTTGTATTTTAAGGAAGGGTCTACAGGGTGTTCAGGGTCTCACTACTAGACCAGATTCATAGTGATCCGCCTGTTTACAGCCTCCCAAGAGCTGGGATTACAGGCGTGTGCCACCATACCCAGTCTCAATTGCTGTCTCAGTGGGCCCCAGGGGCGGGGCTGGCACAGCAGGCCCGAGATCGAACCCCCAGCACCTGCACCTGCTTGCAGGTGCTTTAATCTGCTGAGCTATTAGGCTGGCCCTGTTATTCCTTATTATAACCATGCAAAGAGTCATACATTAAATTCCTCCTAGATTCCTATGTCTGGAAAGTTATTACTTCTTGCCAGTTACATCATGGTCTTAATGTAAGGAGCCCCTCAAATATTTACTCCAGATACCTAGGATCTTCTCATTGTGGACGCTTACTATATGTATTGCATGGCTCCATTAGAATCAGCCTATCCAGACAACGCACAAGAGGAAAGTTAAAATAAAATGATCCTCCAGACGAGGCCTGACTTACACTTCATCATCACAGTTCAAGGGTTTCTCCAGCCTGTAGCCCTGGGGCAGCTTCTCGTAGAGTTCTGCGCATGTCATCCCACAGTAGGGCGTGCCACCTGGAAGACAGGAAGTGGTGCACCTCTGAGCCCGGGGGTCCGTAAGGCAGAGCCGCACGCCTGCGAACTCCAGAACTAAGAAGCGAAGAGCGCGACAGGGTGTCAAGGGAGAAAGGACACAGAGTGCCTCCCTTCACAAATGCCGTGTTGGACTCCCACCGCAGACCAGGCGTTAAGTGTGAATATTGCTCTGGAAGAAAGAGCTGCGGAAGGCTTCATTACAGATAGTGCCGTTTCTCTTCCCTACATCTGCCCGTGGGCAGCTCACTTGCAGCTCACTTGCAGTACCATGAGCTTCTTCTTTTTTCTAGTTGAAAATCTAGTTATGTTATGCAACTCCTATTCTATTAATAATATAATTTAATTTGATTATAGTATAAATCTTAGAATACAAAAACTAAATGAAGTGAAAAACACAATAGCTTTGTAATTCCTTACTTTTTATTATACGTAAAATGTTCACTTTTTGACATGCATGTCTTCACGTGCTATTAAATGGCCTTCAAAAAAAAAAATGTGGCATGGTGGCGCATGCCTGTAATCCCAGCACTTTGGAAGGCTGAGGCTGGAGATCCCATGTTCTAGTCCTGCCTGGACCAATTAACAAGAGTTTGCCTTAAATTAAAAGAATAAATGAGGGCTGATGATGTGTCTCACTAGCAAGACCCTGAGTTCAATTCCTGGTTCACCACCATAGAAAGAAATGGGACCTTTAATGAATATATACTATTCTATCTAAAGCTGTAAAACTCAGTAAGTCCTAGGATTGTTTTCATAAGCAGAAACAAGCTAAATTGAATTTCATGGACACCAGGTCATTAGTATTAAGTATGACATTTGGTGCACAGCTTTCAAAAAGAAGAAGTGTTAAAACAGACACATGTGGAAACCGGTAAGTTTGTTTGTAAGTCATACCTGGTAGACCACGCACAAATGAGGCCTATGGAATTACACTAGGAGAGAGTGCTGAGGGTCCACTCCTTTTGCTCAGAATCTCATTTGGCAGGTTAAACAGAGACACTCACCTAAGCTGACGATCTCCCACAGCAACACACCATATGACCACCTGCAGGAACAGATGCAGAACCATGAATCAAAGACTGCACGCTCAGGTTCCTTTGCCAAGAGCCAGGCAACTGAACCTTTCTAAGCAAAGGAAATCTTTCTCAGCTAGGGCCCTGCACACAGCCTGGTTCCTCTCCTCTCAGGATGATGGGGGGTTTATGGAGAAAAATGAGGATCATATCACTAAAGCTCTCATCTCACTTTAAGGACAGAATGCAAGGTGGAATGGTATGAAACACATGAATTCCAAACCAGAAAGATCTAAGTTAAATCCTGGCTGCATCACTAGTACTACTTGTGTATCCTAGAGTGAACTACTGAATATCTTGGACCTCACTGTATATTCTTCCACAAGTGGGGACACCAGTCTGCCTCCACGTTACACCAAGATGACACACACAAGGCCCCTTGCACAGTCATTGCCATTTCCTCCCCTCCCCAGACATAAGCAAAACCTCATGAACAAGTCACCACCAACTTCTGGACCTGAGTTTTTCCTCCTGAAAATAAGGTATGCAGCAAGATGGCTTAAGAATCATTCCTGGGGCTGGAGAGAAGGCTCAGTGGAATAAGTACTTCCTTGGCAAGTGCAAGGGTCTGAGTTCAATTCCCGGTCCCACAAAAAAAAAAAA